TTGATTTTAAGCTATTAAAACCTGTTTACATTGGTTGGGCCTTCCTCGGATTTCTAGTGGAAATTAAAAAAGAAAAAAGTCAGATGAGGGCTTGTCCCAAAATTCTAACAAGAGTTTATCTCCTAAGTTGAACATTTTTCACTTTTTTTTTCCAGATCTAAGCAAGGGAAATAAGATCTTGACTGGCATGGTGCTGGTCTTTGCTTTGCCTTTGACTCCCCACCCACTCCGAACTGTTTTAGTCCTTGAACTGATTTGGGGTGGAACCATCATGACAGGAAAAAACACACCTAATCCTGGTTGTAAGGTGTGGTTTAGGATGTGATGGTTCCATGCATTTGTTGCAGAGAACAACATACATGCACTGAGGTCTTGTCCTTTCCTCTGCCTCACAAGAAAAACAAATATTTCTGGCCTTAGAAAAACTTTAATAATGCTGCTTAAGTAGTTCACTGATTTATCAACATTCACTCCAGTTTCCACGGGGGTTTAAAAAAAACACTGCAGTTTTAAGTAGTTTCCATTTAAAGCCTGTAATTTGGTTGAAACGCTCACCTTTCTCTTTCTATTTTTTTTATAATAGTTTATTGTTCTACATAGCTGATACCAGGACTTTTTCTGCGTACCACTGAGGGATACTGAGAATCGTATTACAGTTCAAGAACCATGTATTCAGAAATCTTTACACACAACTTGATTGACAACTTGAACCTGCTGAGATGCAAAAATGAGTTTGAATTCATCCTTGGGGAGCAATAAAAGTAAAATATCTCTAGTTGCCTAACAGACAGTTGGGTCACATGCATTGCCATCATGGTGCATTGCAAAAACAAAACAAAAACAGAAGATAAGATAAGAAATGTATTTCTAAACATCAACATTGAGCAATTTTCCTTTAGACACTAGATTTCGATTCTGAGCACTTTTCTGTTTAACTGAGACTGCTGTTTTCCTCTCCAAGCCCATTTTGGTATTTCTCATTCTGCGCGCCCCCGCAGCCAGTCAAATGTTGCAGGTCAAGCGTGTAATTTCAAGAGTCCAACGCCGTCTGCTGCTTTGCTCAATCACTTGGCATTTACCGCCCCGTGCCTGTAAATAAACACAGGTGTCCCACATGCGAATGAGACTACAGTCCGCTCTCGATTGGTAGATGCAATTTCTATCAACACAAAAGSTTCAATTTTGAGCTGAACATTTGGGGAACAAAAATAGCACCTTTGTTCACATCCTCGGGGTGTGAGAGGTAATCAGTGCAGAATGGGAGCAATTTCAACCTTAGCTGGGGTTTTACAAACACAGTTAGTGCTTGGTCACATCTAAGAGACAGATTTTGTTTAACTAAAAAAGGTATTTTTGACTCAAACCGCCACGCGTAGACTAAACAACGATTAGTGAACGCTCCTTTTTTGGACTCAGAAAACAGGAAAYTGACTGAGAAGTGATGGAAAGTGGTTTCCAGGTCATCTACACCTGTCAAAATGTCACTTGATTAGCCCCCGTCCTTTGTTTTTACACAATAACACACAAACTGTTAGTCACCATAAGTGCATGTCTAAATGCACATTCATACACACAAAACATTGAAAAACTAAAACACACCAATCAGCAGATGACCGATAAATGACCTTGAAAACAAGCGATTAACCCCCCAATGTGGATCAACACCCCCCGGCAAAGCCCAACATCAGATTAGATATAAGATAATTTGGTTCAACCCAACCGACTCAAAGCTTTCACACTGAAACCAATTATAGACCAGATTATTCCCAAACAATGGAAGCCATTGTTCTGGCCACACTATGGGGACACTGAGGTCATATCACTGTTTTCATCCTGAGGGTGCTCAAATAAAATCTAAAACTAAAGAATTATGGTGAAGCATCTGTATATATCAAAGAAAGACGCAAAAAAAACTAGTTTCAATCTTTGTGTTCCAATAAACTGAAGGCTTTTTAAGACGTTTTGTTGAATTTGATGATAAATGAATGAATGCATTTTATTGTTGTTATATACTGGTACAATGAGATAGAAACAACTCCTCTCACRGTGCAAAACATGTACACTTAAATTAAAAGGTATAAGTCAAATTAATGGTGCGTTCCATTTACATTGTATTCAGGAACTGGAAAATGGTAGTGACATAATTTCCCAACAAATCATATAAAACCACATTCCAGTTAGCCCACAGACGATTGTATTGCTGTTGCTAACCTAGCTACAATATAAATAATGACAAAAAATAGAGTTCTACTATGTATGTCATGCAAATTAACATTGATTTTCCTATGTACAATCTGGACAAAAAACTTGTACGAGTGATTAACATGCACAAAAACATTAAGAACAGTAATTAACAGTAAAGGTTATGGAGAAATAGAAACTAGGGGTAGTCGTTCCCAGTATACAAATGGGACCACTAGATGGGGTGTTCCAATTTAAATTTACGAATGGGAGCAAGGAAATTTCCACTTCCCAGTGCTACTGAAATGCACCATAAGACACTAAACGTAGCAAAGAGACTGTAGTGGTATTTGGTATGGTGGTATGGTAAAAGGGGATGGGTGGGGTCTCATAAGTGGGCCCATTGCTCTCCCCACTGAGCTTTATTCAAACAATTGCATCCCTTGGATGAAGGGCACAAGGTTAGAAATCCGAGGGACGCGAAGGTTTGTAGTGGTATTTGCATTTATATATAGCTAGCACATTTCTGAGTATTGCAAATCTGAAATGATACATCAAAATTTTGAGTTTTGGTCCTGAGATAACCAATTTCTGCAACCTTATGAATTCACAAAGCAATAAAAGTCTGACCACGAGCCACGAAACTCTTGGATAAAATACAGAAGCCTGGATCCAATAACCTGTTTCTTTCATCCCGAATAAAACAGTGACTTATTGTGTTTAAAATTCAACCGACGAGGTAATAGAAATGGAGAAGCTGGATCTCAGATACCTGATCCAGGGCACACAAAGTGCATGATATCTGTTATTAAAGGTCATGTAGTAACTGAAACAAACACCTGAGGGAATTCCCTACCTGTCAGGCATTCAAATAAATACAAATCACCATCGGTGTAGTTCTACATGAACGCCAGAATGAATGGGAAATAATTTTGATGGAGCCCAACCATGAGCAGAAACMCATCAAAATTAATTGCAAACATAAGCCGTCATATAATCCMTAAATATTCCCCTGGATTAAAGGATGCTACTGTCTGTCTCACTGCAGCAGATGCAGAGACACAGTCATCTCCACCCAGCTGTAAAACACAGACTATGATGACCTACATTGCTGTACAGTGGGGCACTGGCTCCAGGGACTGTGTGCAAGCATCTCTGCAGYCCGGTCTGCTCCGTGCATCAAGAAACAAGCGTTAAAAACTGAAACAAGAAGCGGTCCGACCTTGGTGCGTAACAGAAAACTGCATGTTAAACACAGCGGTGGCAGATTAGAGCCGCGTGTTCCTGGAGGGCCGTCCCTCTGCTGCCTGCTTTTGATGTGTGGCACAACCTGCCACCTACGGTGGGGAATGAGACAAACTGGGGGGGGGGGGGGGGTGTTAAACAGTCCCATCTTTGGAGAAGAAACAGTCGATATGAATCATTGACGCCTATCCTATTCAAATACACGCAGACAGCATCGCTGCTGCAGCATAAGTGCTATAATGAAAACAATTAAAGGGGACATGTCATGCAAAATCTACTTTTTTTTTTAGCAACTAATGCATTTTGTTGTGTGCTTGGAGTCTCTAGGAGTGCAGATAAATGTAATCGAGTCTCTCCCGTTGCTGCGTAGATATATTTATATTTTCTTTGATAATTTACTTCAGTATGATGAGTTTTCTCTATCGTCTGTAACGTTTTCTAAATGATTAAGTCACAGAATTTGCGACCGAACAGAAAATTCATCTGCAGCAATATAATTGTAAACCCCACTATAAAACTGGAATAGACAAGTCTCATTTGCATTTAAAGAGACAGCCTCAAAACGAGCTGCTTTGAGACACAGATAAGAAGAGAGGTGAAAGAGGGGCTTGTGGAGTTACAATATGGAGTAATTCCACTTTATATAAACCTCAACGGAATGATTTAAACTGGAAAAAGAARGATTTAACAGCGTTATATGTTTACTTTAAGGACTAACTTGTGTTTTTTGTGCTAACCGATGAGGTTTTGAAGCGTTTGCAGAATGTGAGAAGACATCTATTATCAGGGGTGTCACCTCCTGGTCCTCAACAMGTAAAACATACAGGATTGGACACCCTCTCAGACGGTGTATATGTCTTTAAGAAGTGTAGAGGAGCTCTGTTTAGTAATGCCCAAAGGTTTTAACACATCCAGAAACAGATTTCTAGTCTGGCACCCTCCCACCAACAATGATCAAGCTGATGCATTTATGTGTCAGCTGCATTTAAGCTTTTTTAAAATGTGAAATCAAGATAAACTAAATAAGATTAAATAATAAATACGATTTTTTTCTTTTTTTGCCTCCTTTCATTTCAAGTGATTTTTTCCCTTTGTGTATAAAATTTTGTTTTATTTTTAAATGAAATGAATAAATGAATTAAATAAAAAATAATAAACCCTGTAATAATCTGTTTATATCATTTATTTTTCAATTCCTTCCTTTTAAACATCTCCACAGTGCAGCACTCTGACGGCTGTCTGTCGGTCAGTGGCTTCTGTCCGAGCGTCGGGGGTGTGACAGCGAGCTTTCATCTGATTGGCTGGTCAGACATTGACGGCTAACTCGATCAGCCAATCAGAGCCGCTCAGACAGAAGCACTCCTCAAGAAGCACTTGCGTGGTCGTGCGTCACAGCCACAGCTTAAATCATTTAATTAATGCTCGACCTCACGTGTCGGYATGGAGCCGTGGATGAGTAAAATCAGAAAACACACTGTGGGCTCAGACACATGCTTTGGTTAAAAAAAAAGGTTCAAAAAGAAAAGCACGCTCCCAGAGACAAACACAACTGCAAAGGCGTAATCATGACCTACCCATCCCCCGTTATCTTCTATCCAGCTGCTCAGAGGTCCGTTTAAATACTCCGTCATCCACTCCACGATGTGGTCCACCTGCGCCGTCATCTCCTCCCGGGACGCGCACTCCGCGCACACCGTGCCCCCGAACTCGAAGAAGGCGATGATCCGGCCCCAGTTCACCCCGTCCCGGAACAGCTCGTCGATCACCTCGGCGAAGCGCGTCTTCGCCGCGGCGCTGGCGAGCCCCAGCTGCCGCGACATCTCCACGAAGTCCCGCTGGTACAGGCGCTCCAGCTCGTCCCCGGCTTCCCGCAGGACTCTGTGGATGTGCGCGAGCGGCTCGGGCTGCTGGGGGACCCGTCCGCAGGGGTCCAGGTCGCTCTCCGCGTCGGGGCCCCCCGTTYCTCCTCCTCCTCCTCGTCGTGCGTCGCGGCACCTCCGGACCAGGGTCGGGGACTGGTCCCCCAAAGAGCCGTTCTGGCCAGCATCTTCTCGGACCCCACGGTGCTGGTCAGAGCCCCACGCGTACCCACGCTTGGAGAGTTTGTGGGTAATGTAGTTTTCCACAATAAAGCGATTACACTCCATTACGACTCTTAACAGAACCAGACGACGTTTCAAACACGAYGCATTTTAAAGCCAAACTGGACCTCAGGACTCGTCCAGATGTTTTTAATTTCAAGACCAAAGCAAGTATTGATCCCACGCAGGAAGGCGAATACTTCTTCTTTTATATAATCAATTTAAAACCCTTGGAAGAAAAGGGCGCAAGAGGAAACCGTTCCAAGTCAAAAAGAAAGAAAAAGAAATGTCCTGGTTCGGTTCATTTCCCGAAACCTTGCAAGGACTCCGTCGACCTTCTCTGTCTCTGGATACAGATCCAGTTTGCGGAAGAGGTCGGAGCGGTGCAGCTCATCAGCCCGACGTGCTGCCGAGAAATGAATGGAAGAGGAAAAAGTTGTAGACCCCCTAAAAAAAAGGAAGAAGGGGGGCTTTGAAGGCGGCTAACAGTTCTGCCGGACCCGGGACTGGGAGCCGAACTAGGTCGGACTGGAGCTCTCCTCATCCGTCGCTCCTCATCTTTCTCTCTGCAGCTCCCTGCCCACCCCACTAGTGGGCTGCGCTCTGACGTCACAGCACCATTAATATACTGGTTTTTTTTTTTTTTTAGTTGCAAAATCTAAGCACGCTGTTTGGGTCAACTTTTTCCTAGAAAACGATTTCTTTTAACCATGTGTGTAAAAGTAAAAATCTAAATTCAGGTTAGATTTCTTAGCATGGCAATAAAAGCCACAAAAACACACAAAAAAAAAAAAGAAAAAAAAAAGACCTGGATTATCATTAGTTTTCTTCTTACAGGTGTTTATTTTATCATGTAAGAAAATAAAACAATGTTCCACTTCTCACATTTTTCTTTCAATGGCACACAAGGTGAAGGTGTTAAATGTTTTGGCAGAAAAAAATAAAATAAAAATCATACAACATCAACCTCATGAGCCCAGCGTGACTTGTTCATGTGCAATTAAAGGTTCTCATTGCAAAGCATCAAATCGAACACACAAACCGCTGTCCTGAACTATATCAAATAGCGCAGCTTGAGTTTACCTCAGTTTCCCATATAAAATGCGGGTATGCGCTCAACGTAAACAAAGCTGAATTTGCGTGATTGGCCTACTTTAGGCTGCAGGTAAAAATGGTGGGATCGGACAAGCGTGTTAAATGTGAAGAAGTAAACGCCGAGTCACTACTGTGCAGATTTTTGTCCGGCCTTTAAGTCWTTGCAATGAGAACCTTTAAAACTCACTGAGAACCTAACACTATTAAACAAGGGCAAACTAGCTTCAGTTTTTACTGGATGTTCAAACATAAGCTTCACTTTGCATAGCTTAATAGTGTTCAAACAAAACTGGTTTTTATCAGCTACATGTTCTTTAAACTATACGTCGCTACTTCAAGGTGTAACAAAAAAAAAAAGCGAAGCACTAAATGTATAATAACACAAAGCACTCCTCTGTACCTTTAACTAAAATCAAATGAGAACATCATCATACATGAATCAAACATTCTCACTTTCATATCTTAGATTAAATAAGGCTTTCTTTTTTTTTTTGTCAAAGACTAAAACACAAAAATAAACTCGRGGAAGCCGTTAACACGTGGTTTAAGTCGCGCCGTTTTACCAACAGCTTCATTCTCAAAGCATTAAACTGATCAGATGTCACCTGTTAAGGCTTTTAAACGAGTCCCGGCATTGCTCYGTGGCTTTTAAACAAACTGAGATCGACAGAGCAGCAACGCAAAAAGAAAGCTAAATAAATGTATTGCATCTACAGACAGTTTTAACACATTTTGGCATTCAGAGAGTGATGTATATGATAAGAATCYTGTCCTGATCTGTATGTTTGGCATTTAAGTACATTCTTGTAAAATGGACTGAAGGAAGACTTKTAAAAACTAATAATGTACTTCTGTCTCATAAAAAAAAGAGTCATCTGATAAATGAGTCTTCTCGAGGCTGGACAGACGGTGTCGTTTTTGAAAATATTGGATATTTTTGACCTTTATGTAAAACTAATCTCTAGTGCTGCTGTCAGTAGACCTAAAGTCACACGACTCGAACCAGCAAGCCTTGCCTTGTGCTGACAGAACACCGGCCCGAGTGAAAAGAAACCCAGACAGAACCGTATTCTGAATAYGAGCCATTTTAACGGCAAGTAAAGAACGATCAAACGGAGCGATTGGGTGCAGGTGAAAAGTGAAATTGTGTGATTTTTCTGTCTAATGACGTCATGGCTTCGACTCAAAATACCTCCCTTTCGAGTGGAATGACACGAAGAAAAATAAATAAAAATTTAGCGTCTTCGCAACCAAGACGATTCAATCAAATGGCTTTTCTCTCCCGTGCAGGTTGGCTCAGTCACAGTAGAAACAAAACACACACAAGTCACCCATAATTAAATTCTTCCCCCGACACTTCCACGTTAACATTTCTGGATATTGTTATTATTGGGCGTAAATTACATTTAGACTCACAGGAACGACATCCTCTCACTCTGATATCAAAGAATACAGTTATATCACTTCACAGCTTAGTTCAGACAAAATTCAAACATCCCACAGCAAAAAATAAGTAAAACACAGAGGGGGTCACGACCAGTTTCAAAACAAAAAGTTWTTCAGTCAAAATGAGAAGGTTGCTTTGCCAGCAAAGACTCGTGGTACAAAAATCTGACCAGGTCATTTAGTGAAAACTGTAAAACACTTTGTAAAAAGTGAAGATTGTTTTGAAAAACATGCAACAAAAACAACTAAAATAGGAGAGTTACGCCCCGTTTTCCATTACAGTCCCTGGTGGTAATGAATTTTGAGTTAAATCTGGTACAAGCTTGATGTACGTGCTTCGTAAGACACAGCTATTATAAAACTGGGGATTTAGTCTGCCCTCGTTCCCTCCTAATAAGGCAGCTCTCACACTGGAAGTGGGAACTCCCATTAAACCAAAATATTATTTAAACGCTCTCAGAAAACAGGAAATTTAAAATGAGGGTTTGTGTCATTAGAAAAGCTCTAAGTAAACATGTGCTACCCCCCCACCCCCATCTAATCTCTGTAGTGGGTTTCAAAGCACATTGGCTTGACCTTTTGCTCCCCCATATGGTTGTGCATTTGTATGACTGGAGACTGGATAAAGGGGCCGTGGAGGAGGGACCTTTAGGACTTGTAAGGCTGCTGCTACTCTCTCTTGTCAGCTGCTTTGGACTGTTCCCTCTGAATCATGCAGCGGCGCACGATGCTGTCAAAACTGCCCAGGTAGAAGAGGGCGATGGTCCGAAACAGCCCCATGGTGACGATCTGCAAGGGATTGACAAGTGAAGGTCAGCAGTGAACGTGCTCGCTTCAGCAGAGTGATGAAACTTTGTGTGTGTGGCTGTACCTGCTGGAGGCCTTCRGTGATGGAGGTGACAGGTGACATTCCACAGGTGAGGGCTGACAGCATGTAACCGTCAGGACCAACTGAGCTGCTGAAGTTCCCCTGCTGCAAAGGGAAATTAAAAAAAAAAAAAGCACATAGGCAAACAAAAAAAAAAACAACAAACAAGTTTGATAGTAGCTGGACTCTCTTACCACTGCATCCCTGACAAGTATTTTGGCTACTTGGTCCGGCTGCCAAACTCCAGAGGTTTCAGAGATTAATTTGGTCTCTAAAGGCTGAGTCAAAATAAATAAATAAATAAATAAATAAACAAACAAATAAATAAAGCTGGGCAATGACCTATTTTTCACTGACAAAAGTGTAAAAGAAACCACAATATGCAAACTTTAACACTCACCTTTGACTTGTTCTCTTCAGCCAGGAGTGGAGTATCAGTGTCAGGAGGAAAGGCCATCGTTACATAGATATTGTACGGCTTTACCTGGAAATACCACACAAACAAAAAACACATTTTAACTATTTGATCTGGATCTTTAACTACATATTTAAGTTTTTTGTTGAGCACTCGAGCTGCTGTGTTTGCATGATGCAAAGAGCTCATCTGAGAGGAGGAAAATAAAAAATTTGACCAAAAAGAGGGGAGGAGCAAACCTCCATCTGCAGCGCCTCTGCTAGGCCACGCAGAGCGAACTTGGACGGGGAGTAGGCGGTGTATCCGAACAGGCCGATCTGGCCCGCCTGGGAGGACACGAACATGATGCGGCCCATTCTTCGCTCCTTCATGGTGGTTATGACGGCGCGTGTTGGATAAACACTGCCCAGGTAGTTCAGCTCTATCATTTCCTGGAGAACAGAAGCACAAAGTTCACTTTTTTTTTTTTTTTGGTAAAAGTTCAAACGCCAGCAAAGCACACCAGTTTACCCTCAAGGCCAGCTTAACTTAGACTCAAATTCAATAATAATTCTGCTGCGTTTACGTCATTAAATCTTGTTTTTCTTCACCTATCTGACGGTCAAAACCTTCAGCCTTGATTTCTTAAGATTTTCCATCAGTTTTTGTGTTTCTTGTCTTTATCTCAGCCTTTTGTCCTTATTTGACTTCTTTAACAGACTATTTCTGATAATGCTTCAGCAAACACTTTAAAGCAGTGGTTCCCAAACTTTTCAGCCTTTGACCCTCAAAATACCAACAGCAGAGACCTGAGCCCCAACTGTTGTTGGATCTAAAACATTGTTTTCACGTCAAAAAAAAAGACCATAGTAACAGTATTCATTATGCTATTTTTGTCCATTTTAAGCACACTAACCTTACTCTTTTGTAACAACAAAGGCAAAAAAAATTTTTAGTTATTATTTTCTAATATAATTAATTCAGAAAATATTTTCAGGACCCCAAAAAAAAAGGCACATAGGCAAACAAAAAACAACAAACAACAAACAAGTTTGATAGTAGCTGGACTCTTTTACCCTTTTCTTTTACCTCTTTTGGGACCCCATTGTGGGTCCCGACCCCAACTTTGGGAACCACTGCTTTAAAGGACTGAATGAACCTCTGAGGTCGTGCATCAGATCAGCTGGATTTTTTAAGGAAATAACTTTCAGGTAATTCCCCCCAACCACTTTTAAGTTTTAAAAACACACTTAACATGATAAATATATAAAGTTTTCAGCTTGTTGTCAATTGCACGAATAATGAAAGGAAAAAAAACTGTTATACGCATTTCTTTTTTTTCCCCCAAGTAAATAACAGAGGCTTTGAGAGGGACTCACTTTAAAACGCTCCACTTCCATTTCCTCAAACTTTCCAGAAATGGCCGTTCCAGCGCAGTTCACGAGCATATCAACAGGCCCAAGCTTCTCTTGAGCCTGCACGGACAACAAAACACAGCTTTCGTACCACAACAATAAATTATTTAAGCAAGAACATGTCCCATAGTGGTGTAAAAAGGTACCTGTTTGATCACATTTTCCACTTGAGTGTAGTCACTGGACACATCCACAGATACACAGAGCACCACCTTGATGAATAAATTCAGACTGAATCAGTTTTGCTCTAAATTAGCAAACAAATAAAATTTAAATAAAGAAATTTTTATTGGTAAAAAGGGATACTTGTTTGTCATTGATGGCATATTTCTCCACATCTTTCTTTGCTCTGAGTAATTTCTCCTAAAAAAAGAGCAATACATCTTTAATACAAAATTAAGGCTATAACTTGTGTATACATATTAATTGCCGTTGATGGTTAATAACTATCTAAAAATAAGTTATAAAACATATATTAATGGCCACTAAGTGGCCAAGGGTTTCATGTAAAATAAAGAAAACTGCTTGCAGCAGCCAAAGGGAGATATTCACCTGACCTTTATTTACACAGAAAAAAAAAAAAAAAAAACGTTGACAATAACAACAGCCTATGACGGAATCTAAAACGTCGGGGTTAAACGCTTGCACTGACCTCGTCTCGTGCCACCAGAGTGATGAACGCTCCTTGCCGGTAGCATTCGATGGCGATGCATTTCCCGATCCCACTGGAGCCTCCCGTTACCTAAACATTGTAAGGGTAAATAAAACGTTAAAGAGTCWAAGCTCGGGCATGGAGCAGCTGAAATGCAACTCATGTGGGGAGAAGAGCACCTTTTAAAGAAAGACATTTGAACTCAAAAAATATTTTCTCCAGAATAGGGCTGCACGATATTAGGAAAACCTGCGATGTGCGATAACCTTGCTTAATATTGCGATGACTTGTGATAAATGAACAAATACATATGTAGTGTTGATATCTTTCTGCTCTGGGTTCAAAGCCAAAAAACAATTTAAAAAATAACTATTTATTTCCATTCCAGCCTGATTTTTTTTAATTAGAAAGGGACCTATACTTCAAGCTTCCATCTAAATGACAAAACGCATTAATGCGAACTTTTGAGTCAACCATTTATTGCAGTTTATGCAGTTGTTGCGGTATGCATATTGCACAGGCTATTATCGCGATGACGATAAGTTTTCGATATATTGTGCAGCCCTACTCCAGAACCTCATAAGTGAACCAAAGCACAATATTCTTTTTTTTTACCTGCACACAAAACTGTAGTCATTAGAAGGCATTTTAAATACCCTGTAGCATTAGCGTTGACATTGATGAGCATACTCTTAAATAAAAAAACAATAAAAAGCAGCTTCATAGTATTTAGATATAAAAAATTAATGTTTTTTTTTTTACTGACAACCAATGAGTACTTCAAGAGCATCAAATATTTTGATATCTTGCATAAACAGTAACTTTAGAGAAACAAAAAATCTGTCGGTGAAAAATAATGGATGATTTGTGGCACTAGCAAATATCAACAATGACGTGATGATGTCATTATTTCAAGTTAATTCAAAAAAATCAAGTCAGATAGTGAGCTCTGATGAGAGCTGCAGATGTTTAGATGTCAAACAGTAAATGCTTCACCACAGGCTAATTACTAAAATATTAACTTATGTGGGCGTGACGCTACATAAATACAATAAACACCGGGCTTGGTTACAACACATTAGTTGTCAAAAAAAGTGGACTCAACTAAGGAGCGTGGCTCCGAGCTCAACATGCCGACAAAACATCATGTATTAAAGTGCTGAGAGTGTCCTGACACTTCAGTTAGCTGCTGTTTTCAAAACAGTGCGGTGCACTTACCACGACGTGGGCCCCGTTGAGTTTCAGCGGCTTCGGACTGATGAGAGGCGATATCATGTAAAGCAACAAGACGAAGGCAACAATGAAGGCGGCGACCACAAGCAGCATGATGAACGGCAGAAGGAGCCACCAGGAGTTGACGAAAAGCCAATCTGTTATCGCTGAACTGATCCCTTCTTCAGAGGACATGGGGGAATCCTTTAGCTCGCTTGCTAACTAGCAGGCCAGTGTCTCGAGTCCGATATCAGAGATGGGAGGCAGGCGACGGCCCAGAGTGGGAGTGGAGAAACGCAGACCCCCGCGGGAGGAGTTTGCTCCGGGTTTTTGGCAGTTAGTCAAATGCGTCCAACTGTCAGGTTATCGTGCCAAGGTGGACTTTGGCGCGCCTCGTAACAAAGCGATGTCCGTATAAACTAAAACAAACTGAACTAAACACGTCTGGAGGCGGACGTGGTCGTTTCTGGTACTTGTAGTTCTGAAGGCGAGGTTGGTTTCGGCACTTCGAACGCTGCTAGAGCGTGCGTCAACTACAAATCCCACAATGCAAAGCGACACTGAGGAACTTTGAACTGACCAGAGGGCGCTTAGATTAACTAATAACAACAATCCTTCTGCAGTACAGCAGGGGTACTTCAATGAACAYGATTTAAAAAATATATAATGAAGTGAAATATTTACACACCCACCAAAGTATACAAGGGTGGGTCAGAAAAGCAGCCCAAGTCTTAAAAACAACAACCTAGGAACTGTTGGTAGCAAAAGGTTTGAGTACTGTGGTGGTCTTGTTTTTGCTAATTGGAATATTAACATATTTATTCATTTATTATCTAGAAATGTTTTTTTTTTTTTTGCCCGGCCTCTTGAACATTACAACTCGTTATCATAAGTGAAATGCATAAACACAAAAATAACACTCGTTAACATACTGTAGTTTTACCTTTTATTTACACTGAAGTAATGAAGAACAGAAGATCAAATCCATGGGTTACCTCTTCTCAAAGGAACAGGCTCAAGAGTCTGTTATATAAAAGTATAGACTTATGTTGTAAAATGAAACATTCCCCTTAAAAAAAAAAGACATTACAAGACAGTTTGCCCTTCTCAAGAGCAACAGAATACAGTTGTATACAATCTCTAAAAGAACTTACATGAATGTACAAGTACTGTACATTTAATAATTGTAGTGACAAAGCACTTGATATATATTAGAAGTATGACAAATTTAGGAATAAACCAATAAAATAAAAATTCTTGCAGCTTTTCTAGAAGGCACACTGGTGCACACTGCCACTTAAGGCTACTATAAGTTCAACCGTGAAAATGCACGTAAGTATAGAAGATGATCTATCCATCTGAGCAATTATCACTTTCACCCCTTATGAAAGCAAATATCACACTTTATCAAGGTACGGCTTAGGTTGTTTTTTTTTTAAGTTAACCAAGCAAAGCTTCTAGGTACGAATGAATATGTACAGTAAAATGTTGGCAGAAAACTAAAACAGCAAAAATAATTGAAAGCTATCAAATCCTTGAGAAATGGTAAGGTAATGCTGGTTTGCCAACAGGCGATCCTTTAAGAGTCATTTTAGCTTGGATGATTAGTTTGTTTAGAAATGGAATATTCATCTGAAATCTGCAACAAGGCTTTTGTATCCAAGCATCCCAGAGAACTAAAATTTCTATCACTTTAAGAGGACATTTTGACTCAACGATATTGGTTTATACATTTATAGTTTATACATTTTGTTAAGTACATGTATAGGCTATAAAATGCTTGTTTTATTTTCACAAAAAAATAGATAATATGTAAAGAATGTTTATTACTCCAGTTTGATATACTCTGGAAAGCAAAAACACAAGGACGAGTTGCAACCTTAAGTAGTTAAAATAAACTGAGTGTGTGATTTCCTTTAACTCAGACTATTCAGTTTATAAATTATTATTGTCTAGTGTAACGTTTGAATGTGGGGTTGATTTGTTTTAAACAAGACCGTTGTACAGAGCAAGTTTTCCAATCTTTGRACAATAGTGAATACAAAGTAAAGCCCGGAGGTCCACCCTTTTTGTGGTTATCAAACTGAAAGAACAGAAAGGTCCATTTAGATAACCCAAGAAGGCTTAGTGAATAGTTAGGATGAAACAGAAAATAAAAAAGACAACAGTAAAGAGACAATCACAATTCCTTTGCTTTGGTTTGGTGTCTTCAACCAGTCTAGCCCTCCTGTCCGAAGTCTTCTGTGAATTTTTTCAGTTTCTCTAAATCTTGTTCGTTGACTGTTGGCTTTGTGTTGGCCTGAGACCTCAGCATGTCAGCCTGAACAAGGAAAAACAGATCATTCAAACAGGCTCTAATAATATGTTACAGCTACATCAATACACTGATCCTTGAACTGCTCAAAATCCACCAGAAACTAGCTGGCGGGGCAAGTGTACAATTAAAAGTCCATGCAACAGTTTCAATTCACTGCAGGAGTAAAATGTAAGAGTGTGTCTCCACTAGAGGGCTCCACATTAACAAGTATAGTGTGGTTTTATACTCACCATGGACACCACTGGTTCCAATAGTTTCTCCCCAGGGACATCCATCCAGGTCATTTCCACTGCATTGGGATCTCCAGGTGAGCACGGAGTCAAGAGGTCTTCAATAACAAGGTTGGGATCATCTCTTGATGGGCCTCGTACCTTTTAAAAACAAATCACAAAGAGGACTATTAAATACATTTAATGACTATTGGAATAAAAGAGGTATTTTCTAAAGACGTACCCGTTTGAAGTGGGTCGCTGACTGGACCTTCCGAACTGGCTGCATTAGAGCGTCTCTGACGATAATGCTGATATCTGCGCCGGAGTACCCCTCTGTCTTCTTGCCCAGGGTGATGAAATCTGACTCTGTGAGGCTGTTAGGGGTGGAGCCCAGGTGGAGCTTGAACATGAAGGAGCGGGCGTGCTCTTCAGGCAGGGGGATGTAGATCCTCTTCTCAAATCTGAAATATTTTTTTACGASCCTGAGAACAGCCAAACGATACCTTGACGGCAACTTTAAATGCGTTTCCTAACTTTTACCTTCTTCTGATGGCAGAGTCAAGAGTCCAAGGAATGTTTGTTGCCCCAAGGACTAGAACTCCCTCGTTGTCATTCCCCACACCTAAAACAAAAATCACACAATTAAGAGCATTTAATTACCTTTACAATCATATATGATTTAATTGTTTCCAATTTGTATGTGAAAAATGTGAAACAAGAAACTTTATTGGTAATATTCACATGGTAATTTGTCATTTAAAGACCCCTAAACTGAACTGAATTACACCATATTGTGTGGTTGTCTAYGATTTGTCAATACATGATTCAATTAAAGCTATATATTATTTCAGCTATACAAATTAGAATGAAAAGCAGGAATAATATTTAAATATCAGGTTAAATGCTCCTCACAGGGATCTGTTTAATGTTTAGAGTTCTTACCTGAATGTTCTGAGCTGAAGCCCAACAATAATATAACCTTAATTCTAACCCTGAGGCTCGCAGAACTGAACATTTCTAATTTTTCATGTGAGCACATGAAAGGTTTGTTCCATTTCCTACTTTCGATCTCAGTCACCCAACAGTAAATCTCACTTAAATTCTTGACTAAATATAACTTCAGGTTGCATTTTGSTCATTTACGTTTCATTAAATCAGAGGAGATGGAGCACACTTCCTCTTTTTACTTTTCCGTGTCCCTGACTTGCAACGATGTTGCAATAACAGAAATAAATGCACTCTCTTTTTCTAACTAAATTGTGTAAATTGGATAGGTTTTCAAAATATTTCTCATGGAAAGAACACAATTCAGGGAACAATTCAAASCGTTTCAGCAGACTCACCTTGCATCTGAACCAGGAACTCTGTTTTAATACGACGGGCAGCTTCACTTTCATTCTCGCTTCTCGAGCCACACAGGGAGTCGATCTCATCTATGAAGATGATAGAYGGCTTATGCTCCCTCGCGAGGGTGAAAAGATTCTTTACTAATCTGAGGAACAAAAATGAAGGCTTTTAGACAAATACAAACACCAGCTTCTAAACTCAATTCTTGTAAATCACATTCAATTATTCTGCACTATGTATCCCAATAATACACAATTTTGTTTCAAAGACTCACTTTTCACTCTCTCCCAGCCATTTGGAGACAAGATCGGATGACGAGATTGAAAAAAAGGTTGAGTTGTTTGCCTCTGTTGCAACAGCTTTAGCCAGGTAGGACTTTCCTGTTCCTGGAGGTCCAAAAAGCAAAATCCCTCTCCATGGAGTTCTCTTTCCTGACAATCGGGTAAAAGGATCATTTTAATTAATTCAACTGTTTTATGCAACAATATGAGGTTCTATCATTTAATACAGGGGTGTCCAAACATTTTGTCACATGGACCAAAATCATAAAGTCAGAAGGACTTGAGGGCCAAAAATATTTTTCCTTTACCTGCTCAACAATAAACTAAGCAATGAATACTTTAATTAAACAAAGTAGTCAGATTTATTGCTGGAAATGGATGCATAAATTAATCTAGATCCACAACTTTAAAATTGTTTTGCAGGATTTCCTTATTGAAAGAAATTTAGCAATTTTCTAGGTTTCAATTGGGGAAAAAATAACCCAATTTAGTCAATTCTAATCAATAAAATCAGGATTTAGGTCACTCTTTCGTTGAAAATGCTTGCTGTATTCAGATAAATTTAATAAAAGAATTAAAAGCAGATTGGAGTACAGAAAAATCAGCTTCTGAGTAGAAGTCACTAAATAGATGTGGAAAAAGCTAAGAGTCTGGTTATTTAAAGGCAAAAAAAATCTGTTTTGTTGCCAATATTTTTTATTATAAGATTTTACTTTGTGATAAATTTACCCTAAAAGTAAATAGAAAGTCTCCATCTACATCAAACAACTGTGCCGGGAGGACAAATTTGCAAACAAATTAATATAATTCTTGAACTGAAGTCAGGGGCCACACAAAATCAGTTCAGGGGCGGGCCACACTTTGGACATCCCTGATTTAATATCACTGAGGTGGACTTTATGTGAAAAAAGACAAACCTGTAAAAAGGTGGGGGAATTTGATAGGAAGAATAACAGCTTCTTTCAGTGCCTCTTTGGCCCCCTCCAAACCAGCAACATCATTCCATTTGATATTTGGTTTCTCCATGACAATTGCACCTGAAAGTAGATTTTACAGGCCAGAACAGAATGTAATTAAGTGTAAATAACATGCTTATTTAGAAACATTGGGCCTCATGCAAGAACCGTTCGTACAAACAGATTTGTTCTTAAGTTGTGCGTACGAGTGATTTAGGAGAATTTGTGGCATTCACCAATGTTTTCATATTCTAAGATTTATTTCAGATACGAACAAAATTCACGAGTGGTCCAGACCTGTCGGATATTTTACGAGCAGTCAGTCTGCTGTTATCCAGACGGGTTTTCTTCACTAATAACTTTATATTTCATTAGTTTGAAGATATTTTGAGTTGAAAATAAATCACACTCCATGATTATGCTGACAATAGGCTATTCTGCTTGAATTAGTTATAATTTATAATTTTAAATGTAATAATTTAGACTAACAATATAAATTGTCCATCCGTCTGTTTTCCGCCGCTTATCCAGGATTGGGTCGTTGGGGCAGCAGGAGACCCCGCTCTCCCCAGCGACATTTTCCAGCTCGTCCTGGGGGACTCCGAGACGTTCCCAGGCCAGAGGGGGTACATAATCCCTCCAGCGAGTCCTGGGTTTTAACCAAAGTGCCAGACTTATTTTGAAAACATTTTAAAATGCTTATTTCAAACCCGCATCTGAGACCACCTGCGACCGCGCAACGGTGTGGTTTCTGAATAAATGATTTAACACAGTTGTTTATACTTTTAGCAGCTCTTTTTACTCCACAGCTGACCTGCTGAAATGACAGATTTTCTTTTCTGGATCTCTGACAGACAGACTTCAATCTCTGAACTCGTAAAGTTTTTCTTTTTAATTTTCACTGTCATTTTCATGAATGGACACTTCCTTGTATCTGAGGCAGGAAACACAGCCTTATATGGTGTTTTTGGGGCGGTAATTATGCTAATCTCCTCTCGCGTGCATGAGCAGCTGGATACGAACAGGTGGAAATTATGCAGCTCATTTACACACTTTTCCTGAAGATAGAAGAGTTTGTTGAATCTGACGTGACATGTTCGTACGAACCCTTCGTACGAACAAAAGTAAGAGAAATTTAGGATAAGAATACGAACATGTTATTACATGAGGCCCATTATTTGACTAAGATAAGACATTTCTGTAGCAGGACTAAAAGCAAGAATTTTAAAAAGTATTACTAACCCGAGAGTTGATTTTGAAACTTCTTTTTCTCTGGATCGTCCCCCTCGTCGCTTTCATTCCTAACACAGCAACATTAGTGTTTACAATTATTATATGTACTCAACATTTTGTCCAACACACATGCATGCTTAGCAAGGAGAAAAGGTTTTGTCAAGCGTATGTGAATGACATCACATCAGCTGAGCTGAACACACCCTTTGTCATCAGATTGTGACTCTTTGACAGGTTTAGCCGGCGGAGCTTTCTCTTTCTTCTTCAAATACTCCTTTAGCTTTTCTGCTCTGTCCAAGTACTCGGCACATTTGGCACGAATGCTCTGTTTTGCTTTTTCACCCTGTGCTTCATCTGTAAGGAAAACCAACAGAGTGGACACACAAATAAGTTTGTGCTTTAAAAGGAGAGCATACTCTTAACTTTATGATTATAAAAGGAAGCTTTATAAAATTTTTAACTAGTAGTATCACTGTGTGTATTTTTAAAGCATACAAGAAAAAACATGGACAGAACAACAAGAGAAGAATGGCCATCAAATAACTGCTGTGATCATTTTACAYGGCACAACCAAACACTGCGCTCTCTGTTGGCTTACATTTTACCACATGAAGAAAGTACTGAACAGAAGCCTGATAGAGGCGGAGAGCCTCTTCGTAGTTCTGAGCTTTATCCTCCTGAGCCGCCTTACTGGCGAGATCAATGGCTTTCTGAAATAACAGATGCAAAGAATTTGTTAGTCATCTGCATACCTGCAAGAAATGGTTTTAAAGAGAGAAAAGAGAACGGCAAGAATTTAAGGATGTCACATGGTTTGTATTGTCACACTTACGAACAGACTAAAACGTCAACACAAAAAATATAAGAAGTTTAGGCATACAGACATATGGCCAAGTTGGAAAATATCAAACAACAATGAGAAGGTTTAGTGGCTAATACTGTCATTAAAAATAGTATACACATATAGTACAATAAACAAATATATAAGAAGCACTATTTGAGCAACATCAAAAATTTAACAATAAACTTCAGGACAGTATTACTTACAGCTTATTCTTTTATAAGTACACAGTAGTCTGCTTTAGCTATGGCTCAATGCTCTTTGTGTTGTAATAACTTTTGCTTTCTCTGATTGTCTTATTTAAATTTACACAAATATCTAACAAAAGGAACGTACTGTTTTCTTTTGTGACACCACTACGACAAGTCCCTGAACGTTTCCCTAGCATTTCCTTTTACTTCCTAGTTTTGGTCACCCAATTGCCAAGCAAGTCATAGCTACGAAGCTAACAATAAGCGTCATAAATTGTGTTTTGACAGGCCCTAACAGACCAGCTAGTTCGGAAGCTTAATCTCATTGGATGTTTATCTATCTATAAAATACAAACTATTAAAAATGTGTAGGAACAACCACAAAAGCCACGAAAAAGAGCAACTTAAACAAAAAAAACAACGCACCCAACCGTGGATGAGTCGCCGTCGGCTTAGCTTACCATGCTAATTAGCGGCTATTGTTATTAAACGTTATACTATGAAACGTCGTTTAAAGCCTTCATACCGAACACAGATCATTAAATTACTATATATTTAAAATTAGCGCACAGAGAATACTTTAACTAGGTTTATTTAAGACGTAACATAACTTTTTCCTTGTTTTGTCAGAGCGTTTAGCCAGCCCAAGGGTTGGTCCTTCGCTTACCTGTAAATTATTGTTGGCCATAAGGGCTAAATAACTCGTCCAAAAGCCAAAACAAATTTAACGCCTCCGTGACAAAAAGCCTTTAAAACAATAACCTTCAGCACGAAAATTGTTAACCTCAAAAACTGTGGCTTTTTGGTAAACTTCTTTCCGCTTTTCAGATCGCAACAAATCGAGAAAACAACTTCCGCATTAAAAAGTCGATACTCTCGTGAACGGAATGTACTGACGTCAAGACGTAGCTGCGTCGCAGCTCCCCATAAAGGCTTGTCTTTAAAACAACAACCTTCTGCCTCTTTAGTTTAAAAATAGAATAGAAGCTATCAGCTGGGACTTACGAGCTCCGTAAGTTTACAATTGATTCGGGTATATATATATATTTTTTTCCAACTTAACCGTATATTCTATTTTTTTGTTTGCCTGCAGGCAAACAATTGTCAAACTACATTAATTTCAATTTACAATTTTCAAACTTTACATTAATTTCCACTAGATTGAAATACTATGTATTTTTTCAAGTGGTCTTGAGAAATATTTATTTTTTCAGAAGATCATTCGAAGTTTTTCTTCAGAAGTGAGAGATTTAAATCTCTTTCACATTACTGTAAACACTATAGTTAATCATATGGCCTCAATGCATGAACTACAAATTAATAGTTAACCTTGTAGCACAAAACATTTTCATAAAATATATCACATCATTTGTTTTGTTGCAACTTCTAAGCATTGGCACCACTGTGACACTGCTCTGGTTTTATCATCACAGCTCACATATGGAGAACAATGAAGAAATTTCTAAATGACCTCTTTTTTTATTTGGTACTCCTGTAGTTCTTCCACTCTGTCCAGATACTGTTTACATTTATCTCTAATCTTCTGGTTGCCATCTTTACCTTGTGGTTCACCTAATGGAAGAAGGGGGGAAAAAGTTACTGACCATATCTTATGTCATATCTGCTGTCAAAATGTGGTCCTATTAGAAATACATTTTTTGCAGCAAAATTACAAATTGTCTTACACAAACAATCTTTTMATTGTTGAGCAGGTTTTTTATGTAAAGTATATTAACCCTTAGATGCGTGAGCGACTGGACCCTACACTCGTCTGTAAGTGGGTCTTTTTTGACCTGTGTTAGAATCAGTGTGTTTTTATGCTACTTTTGTCAATTTGATTCAAAAAGATTTTTATGTCATATTTTCTWCTATGTTTTATTCCACACAAGATATATTTCAGATTTGAAATAGTTTTATTTTTCACTTTTTTATTTTTAGAACATTTTTAAAACAATGAAAAGACTATTTTACAACAGCAATGGAACAATGTCATCATCCATTATGTRTGTGTGTAAAAGGTTGCCCTTTGTCACTGATTCTGTTCATAAATTTTATGGACAGAATTTTTAGGCACAGCCAAGGTGTTGAGGGGATCCTTTTTGGTGGCCTTAGGATCACATCTCTGCTTTTTGCAGATGATGTGGTCCTGTTGGCTTCATTAGATCGTGATCTCCAGCTCTCGCTGGAGCGGTTTGCAGCTGAGTGTGAAGCGGCCGCGGCCGGGAAGAGGATCAGTGCCTCCAAATCCGAGACCATGGTCTTGAGCCGGAAAAGGGTAGGGTGCCTTCTTCAGGTCGGGGAGGAGGTCCTGCCCCAAGTGGACGARTTTAAGTATCTCTGGTCTTGTTCATGAATGAGGGAAGAATGGAGCGGGAGATTGACAGGCAGATTGGTGCTGCGTCTGCAGTGATGCGGGCGTTGTACTGGTCTGTCGTGGTGAGGTGAGACCTGAGCCAAAATGTGAAGCTCTCAGTTTACTGGTCGGTCTACGTTCCTACCCTCATCTATGGTCATGAGCTTTGGGTAGTGATCTAAAGAATGAGATCGCAGATACAAGTGGCCAGAATGAGGGTGTCTGGGCTCTCCATTAGAGATAGGGTGAGAAGCTCGGTCATCCGGGAGGGACTCAGAGTAGAGCCGCTGCTCCTCCACGTCGAGAGGCACCAGTTGAGGTGGCTCAGGCATCTGGTTATGATGCCTCCTGGAAGCCTCCCTGGTGAGGTGTTCCTGGCACGTCTCACTGGGAGTAGGCCCAGAGGAAGACCCAGGACACGCTGGAGGGACTATGTTTCTCAGCTGGCCTGGGAASGCCTTGGGATTCCCCTGGACGAGCTGGCCCAAGTGGCTGGGGAGAGGGAATTCTGGGTCTCTCTGCTTATAGGCTGCTGCCCCTGCGACCCAATCCTGGATAAGCGGAGGAAAACGGAACAGTCCCCACAAGAGTGAGATATTTCTCCAGGAGAAACACACAGAAACAGCCACAATACATACACTACAATACTTTTCACTAGCTTGATTAGATGTAAGCTAACTTTGAAGTAGGTTAATATGTTGATTCATAACAATAACAGTCACAGCATGATTGACACACACTCACACGCACACACACGTTTGTGAGGTAAGGAATAAAGATAATACATGTAAGAGTTTTTGCTGTGTAAAATATTATTATTCAGGGGTGACACAGGACTCAGTGTGCATGGTACACAAAATATGTATTCCTGACAGTCACAGTTGGTAAGAAACAAAGGTTCCCATTAAATTCCATAGGAAATAAGTGCGGGTCATTTTTGACCCACTTACGGAAGCATGGGGTATGATAGAAAAAAAATGCTATTTCTTAAAATGTATAAAAGGTAAATTTAAATCTTTAATTGCATGATATCAGTAACATGTTTGTTGAGGAATAACTGGAATATGAAATGATGAAAACTTTTCATTACAAAGATATTGCAAAAAAAAGACCTCACCGGTTCAAAAAAAGACCCACTTACGCATCTAAGGGTTAACGACAGGAACAGTGTGACATGACATTGTTTGAATAATTTAGCCCACTCTGGCAACGCACGTTTCAAAATGTGGAGAAAAAACTTGACGGCATGCTGGTAAGATTTGATGGCTTCTTCGTAGTTTCCATCCTGGTCCTCCTGTGAGGCTTTCTGTGCTACAGCAATAGCTTTCTGAAACAAACAAACATGTAAGACCATACTTGGTGCAGTTAAACTTAGCACAAGTGGGGGAATTTGTGTTTAGTAGATTATTTCTTTGTTGCATCAATGCTGCTTGACAATAAATGGTTGGAAAGCCTGTTAATTTACTTTATAAATGGTGTCACATATGCAAGGAACATGCATTTGTGGAATGAACTGAGTGTGTGAGTTATGCATATGAAATATTAGCCAAATCTTCTCTGCCAAACAGCTTATTTGGCTGTTGACACTTCTGGTGCTGCCAATCAGCTATCTAACTGGCAGCACCTGTGAGCATGGACCCTGTTACAGTGGTCAGTAGATGTCTGCTCCAAGAAGTGGCATGCCATGTTTGACTGGACAGGGTCTTCAACCTGGTGCTCAGTAAAGCCAAGTTGCCACATAGAGCGGGTAAAATAAGTATTGAACACGTCAACATTTTTCTCAGTAAATATATTACTAGAGGTGCTAATGACATGAAATTTTCACCAGATGTCGGTAACAACCCAAGTGATCCATACATACAAAGGCTGTGTCCAAAACGGCAGGACAGGTCCTCCGGAGGACC